CAGCGCGTCTGAAACCCGATACACTGGAACAGCTACGACTAACTGTCTAGGGGCGTGTTCTCTTCGTTACTATCAACCATCATCACCCTGAGTGATCATTATGCGACATTCACTCCTCGCCTCCACCCCTCTCCTTATTTTTTTTATTATCGAACACCTTACCCTCTCTTTACTTTTTACTTTAAAAAATAATAAACATTACAGTTTTCGGCAAAATAAGGCTTTATTCTAACCTTAAATCATAAAATCGCTATCATTTCATGTATATTTACTATCAAAAAATTGTTTTTCCAGCTCTAGCTGTTTACATCTTAATTGCAAACTCAGTTTCTTTTGTCGCCGATTTCTATATTACCACAGTATTTTGAAGGTTGATTTATCCGTGGATATGAAAATTTCGGCAATAGAAGAAGCAGTTTCACCTATAAGATGTCGTCTGAAGCAAATACTTAAGAAGCCATATTTAATTTTTGTATACCATTTAAAACCACGTGACCGCATACCTCAAAAGGTCTACTAGTAAGTTGCAAATTATTCCGCGGTCTTCACAGTCTACACGATCTTCACCCTGCGTTTTAGCACGACCGTTTGAAACTTTATTCTACACAAGAAGACTTGACCGGTGTATAATACGATTGTATTTATTTTTCGTCTTTCTCAAAAGTATGACTACGTGTCTTAAAAAGGGGAATTTTATTTTTATAGTAATGATCAAAATATACCTATGCTTTCAAATATTTAAGAATGATTGCCTAGATAAAATGCTCTTGAAAGAGTTAGGAAAAATAAACAGAGGGCGGGTCGTTTTATTCAGCAAAAAGCAATCGGCAAAACACGAAGTCTTATCTAATGCAAAAACTGTATAAATCGAAATAAAGTAACCAAACACGTTTTTCTTTTAAGCCATTTCATGAAAAATCAGCTTCATAGTAGTCTTTTAAAATTTTAAATCTTGATGATGTTTATTCTCATGGCCATTTTCTTTAATTTCTTGTCTTTTTTTTAAAACCGATGGCTTCATAAACTTCATCAACACAAGCATAAGAGTCGGTTCTATTAAAAGTAATACAGCAACCTTTTCCCCACGAAATCCAAATATAGGATTAATTTTGCTCATTAAGACCTTATTTTCAGAATAACAGAAGGACTGTCCACATTGCCTCCTTCCTATTAATATTGTTTGGTTGCTGAGTGCATTAAACACTTAGAGGGTCTTTAGCCAGCTAAATAATTTATGTTGTGGATGAACAAGCAAAAGGAAGGAAGTATGGCATTCACCCACTCTTACAGAGGTATGCTGACAGCATCAAAGATCATAAAAACTTTCGTGCTCCTTACCTGGAGGCAAAAGGCCGCTTTTATGAAATCTTCATCCTCAGAGTGAAGAATATTGCACAACTCATTGATCCAGATTATGTCAAGGCATTCCATTTCTTTGACACAGACAAAGGGAGCTATGAGTTCACTATTGACACTGGATGTTATGTGAAAGTCTACTGCTGAATTAATTTGAAATGGATGTCCATTGAAGTAATGGAAGCTTGAACCCCATTTTAATTATTGTGTTTTGATTGTTTAGATGAAGGCTCTGATTCAGACAGATTAGTTTCTAGAGGCAATCATGAGACTTGAAGGTAAAGAGATACACCTACAGTGTATGCCTTAAAGTTAAATTCATATGAAAAAACTCTGCTGTAGAGCTTCAAACAGTGTAGAGCCAAGATTATCTCTCCTTTAGGTATTCGCTTTTTAATGAAATTTGTACTTCATAGTGTTTCTTCCTGTAATCTTTACTTATTTTATTCATGTTACCGAATGTACATGTAGCTGAACAATCCATTCTGGAGCGGGGGGAAGGGGTGAAGAGTGTGGTTTATAAAATAAAAGGAAGAAAACAAAATCATGGTAGAATCTATCTAAGTGAAAGCCATTAGGACCGTGGGGGAGACTATAGCCAGATCTGATGAGGAGATGGTGGCCAGCTCTGGGGAAGACCTTGGGGCAGGAGACAAGAGGACAGGTATATCTCTGGATAACTGAAGTTGCTCAAACTAAAGCTGGAGGTGCCTTTTTTTTCTTTTCAATTTTGGATTAATTTTTTGGATACTTAATTTGAAATCAGTCCGCTTAAAAAGGTTAAAACATGCTCTACTGGAGTAATGACTGCAGAGTCTTGGAAAACACTTACATGTTGCATAAGCACTTACTGCCACAACTTGTGTTATGACTTGGCTTCCGAATAACTCAAAGATTTTACATGCAGAACTGTTTGTTTTACTTATGTACTAAAATCTTTTTAATTATAATGGACACGTTAGATAGCATGTGATATTTAAAACACAAAACTATTCTTCTTTGTATCAAAATAGATGTAAAGCACTGCCTTAACTTCTCTTCTTGAATTTTACAGACTCACTGTACCAACACTTGTCACCCATTGTTCTTTTAAAGAGTCAACATTTGGATGTTTCAAGGCTTTACAGGAGAGCAAAGCGAACACCATGCCAAAATGGAAAAAAAGGTAGAAATATTTAAGCCGATAATTATGTTGTGCAATTCCCACCATTAAAGGAAATTGAGGTTTTTCGTTAAAGATACAGAACACAAACCACAAGTCACATTCGAATAGCAGTTCTTTCCTATTCTTGGAAGAATTTTGTTAAGTGGAAGGCCGTCTAAGTCTAGTACTGAAGAAAGAGTTTGAAGAAGTGTCCAAGTTTGTCAACAGAGGCATTTGCGGAGATATGCCATGTTTTCAGGTCACATCTACAACCAATTTAATTACGAAAAAAAAAGAGTTGCCTGTTTCTTCTTGGTCCGACAAAACTTTGGTCAGAATTAAAATGCAAGAAAAGTTACCGTAAAATATCAAGATTTTCCCATTGGTTGTTTCATTTCTTGAAGGGTTTTCTTTATATATAACTGTTAGAGTAATGTCCATAATTTAGACATCCCATCAATTATCGATTACCGTTATTGTAGATTCTTTCACTTGGAGATTCCCTCTTTTGAAGTTCCCCTCTTTCAATTTTTCTGAGTTGGCATCTTTCTGATATTTGCTCCTCTACCATCCCTGATTTTAATTTCTCTTTCTTTTATGACAAGGCATCGTAGCAATTTCTGTTTTAAGAGATGTTCTTTTTTAGAAATTCCCTTATTTTAAGTTTTCTACTTAAGTCATTACCAACATTCCAAGACAAAATGGCGGATATCCCTAATTGTGTAAGCTTTTAGGGCCCTTAAAAAATGGCTGCTGCTAAGTAAGGCTTGTGTTAGATCCTAGCTTTTAAGCTAGGGAGCAGCGTTCATGATAACTTGGTGAAAAGAGTGGTATTTGATAGAAATGATAATCGAACCTCAATACACTTAATTACCATTATCAAAATGACAGGCATCTTTCGGGGTTTCATGCGGGGAAATACAATTCCTGATAACTGCAATAATCACCCATGTGTTCTCTGTAAGTTGCCATCAAGTGCCACCAAAAATCCTTCCATCTCCCCTTGAGTAACAAACGAGTCCAGAAAGTGATCTTCGCATTCTCTACCTCGAGGGTTTTCCTCTCGTAATAGCCTTTTTTGGATCAATTTCTCATAGTTTGGAGCAGGGAATTTTCCCCTAAAACTGCTTACTTTTCCTCTTTTAAGTATGAGCAGGGGAGCCAAATATTAAGCGAAAATCTCGCGCAAATCCAAGCAAAAGAACTCCCAAAAGAAGGAAATCTGTTCGCCATTTTGAAAAAAGTAAAAAAAACAACAACAACAACAACAAAAATAAAAAACAAAGACAACAACGAAAACAAAACAAAGCAAAAGAAAAAAAGAAAACAAAAAACAAATTCACCCAAAATGGGTGGGTGAGAAGCGGTAAAATAATTCATAACTTTCATAGAATTTGTTCGGAAGTAAAAGCGTATTTGTAACGACATTTCATTCCAAATATGACAAGTTAGTATGCTGAATGCTGCATATGGAAAATAGAAAAACAAACAAATGTCTATGTAATTGGGCATAATCGGTTACGTCCCGTGTACGCTTGACACTACGGCCCGCCAATTTGGAAACACCTGAGCATGCGCCTGCGAGTTTTCGCTGGACTACCTCTTAAAATATCGTGGGAACAAAATGTCACCAGTTGTAGCTTTTGAATGTGATCAGATGCATCTCATAGATGATATAAGCAATCGTAACGGGTCTTCCTCGTCAAACTTTCTCGCCTCCTAGCTTTGCTGATAGTTGTAGTTACGTGATTATAAATCACGTCTAAACAATGTTCTATAATCGCACGTCCTAATCTCATACCCATTTATATCCACATTTTTCTTCCACCTTGTACTAGGTAAGCGTTCCATCTTTTAAAAGTTCCATCTTTTTTATTCAGCAGAAGCAAACTGCAAAAGGTGGAATCTAATCTAATTAATTTTTTAATTATCTAATTAAAAAATCTAATTAAAAAGGGGGCAGCTAAGCGAGCCGTTCTAATGAGTAATTTCGTAAAAAAAACTTGTTATTGTAAAACCTGTCTGAATTCATTCTAATCGGTATTTTTTATTATTCTTCTTGTGGTCTTTTTTTTTTTTGTCCTTTTAGGTCCTTTTTTTCGTTCTCCTAATTTTTCCGATGGCTTCACAAAATCAAAGAACAAACATGCACGAGTTAGTGTTATTATGAACAAAAGAGCAGTGACCTTTATGGCGAACTACTAAAAAGCATCTACTCACATAGTAAATATTACGGAATCTTAAATGTGTTGGAATTTCTAGGAAATTATACCATGAATGGCCAGACATTCGCTACTGACTCGTAATCATCATAAGAAGATTATATTACATATCAGCTCCAGTCCATTTCAAGCTATATTTGATTCCCATTCTTCCTTGCAAAGCAAATCACACATTGTTCCTATCCGCCTTTTTTTTTTTTTTACTAAAATGCAAGCTAAAAGAGAAAAAGTCCATGTCGTCATCGTTGATCTATCCGTTGGTTTCCTTTGGTGTGTGCCTAAGCTTTGTTAAAGGAGGAGATTTCTTTATTTTCACCAGTGTTATTCGAGAGGTTTAATTCTTCGAAGGAAGCGGCTTCATTCAGGGTACCCAAATCATCATAGCGATTTGCAAGGGGACTCAGGGCGCCCAGCTTCTCATAATGCACGGCTTCATTTGAGATGCCCAGTGCTTCATACCGATTGTTTCCAATATGGGAGACTGGCTTTTCTTCATAAGGAGCATTGCCATCCTTTTCATCATTCAAGGCGTAAGAGGTGAGAATAGGGAGCGGAACTTCAGTGGGTATCCCATTCGACCTACGTGATTTGATCTTACCCTTGCTTCGCTGGCATTGGCGAACGATGCAAATTGTAGTGAGACCAAGAACAAGAAATCCACCACACGAAATACCGATTACCATTGGCAAAGGAAAACTTGACTCTGTCGGTCCTAATTGTGGTAGAGAAAAATATGAGGACTGTTACTCTAACTTGGCATTATGAAATTTTCGTCTTGAGGTAGTGGCAATCATTATATAATCTCAAATTTGTTTGGCAGCGTCCGTTGGCACTAGGAAGCGAATCCTGTGTTCTGATCGGCTACCCGAGAGGGTTAAATGGGCCCATCTTGCCCACTTTGATCCCTCCCAAGAACAAAAATATTGCGTGGCGCGGACTTAAAAGTTCGTTATCTTTTGACAATGTCGGCGATGGAGTTGCAAAGAGCGACAGGAGAAATTCAAAATTAATAAGACATAAAAAAAAGCGGAAAAAAAAAACTCGACCGTTATCTAGCCATCTTGACCTCATGCTTGGTCAAAAACGCATATTTATTTAGTGTTTTAGTCTAATTCGTGACTAATTGTGAGACCATCACGACTTGCAGATCATATGACTCATTTAAAGAGAGTTGATTTGTCTGTTTACCTTCTCCTTGCTCGTTTACTTTCAGGGATTCAGGATCAACGCTCCAAGGGCCCATCCGGCCACCTTTTATTCCCTCTTTTAGTGGCGTCAATGCCTCTGAATTTTCTAGCTTCTTTTTAAAAGTTAGCTTAAATTCAACAAGGATACTTCCCTTCCTGGCAAAAAGATTGACAAGAAAATATGTCTTAATTACCAAAATGTGTTCTGTAAATTCCAACATCGAATTCGAAAAGGTTAGCACTTCCAATTTCTTATTAATCCTTACTTGAATGATAATATCTCTACGGCAATAAAGTTGTCATCCTCGGAATATAGCTCCTGTATCTGAAATAAAAAGAATGAATTAATACGAAAATAAACAGATAGATAGATAGGATGTATATGCACCCGAGGAACTGGTTAAATCAATCAATGAATATCAATCAGAGCAAGAGTAGATTGGTGTCATAGAAGAAATTTCTATGAATGCGCAAGATCTCACCTCTTTTACAAATTCAAGAGACAACTTTTTGAATGCTGAACTGCTTTTCTCTTTTAATTCATCATTCCATTCCGTCTTCACACGTAATTCGACGATAAGTTCTGACATTAAATAGGAAATCTTAATACACATCGTGTAAACGAAATTAACTTTATAACAGATAGACTTGCGAAACAAGTCGAGCAAGCAGTCAATGACCCCGAAAAGTAAAATGAACTACCAAAGCAAAAAGGATCCGGAAATATAACCGAAACAAAATGAAAAAAAGAAAAAGATAGGAATAACAAACAAATGTACACAATGATAAGAATAACAGTAGTAATAATAAAAATCATGATAATAAAAATCCTGACAAAAAAAAGAGACAATCAAAAAAAATAAGAGCAGAAAAACATGGAAGTACAAAACAACAAAGCAAGATAAATAAAACAAACACCTGTTTTGATTTCCTCTATTGTTGGTTCTTTGGTCTTGGGTTCGTCTGTCTCAGGCGAGTCTGTTTTCACCTTTTCTGTCGATGGTTCCTTAGTGCGTGGTTCGACAGTTGTTGGTGGCGCTGAGGTTTTTTGATTTTTGTGATCAGTTGTAGGAAATAACTTACCGACCGAGGAAGAAATACCGAGCTCTTTCGAGGACGAAGATGGACTTATTTTCTGTGATGCGCTAATCAGAGTACTGAAACTTGACGCAAACACGTGTGTGGCCGTAGGAATGACTGCTACATTGGTGTCAGATAAAATCACCCTTGACGCTGAGGACTTAGGGAAGTGTGTAGTGTGTAGAGATGACTGCTCATTGATGCTGGGTACCACTTATGGAAATATAGGAAAGAGAGAACTTATCATACTTCAAAAAGCACCCTCCCCCCACCCCCTAACAATCAAAAAATATCAAGGTTTCGATAAGTCGTGAGATATAATAATCATGGCTTACCAGTTTCACAATTGGGTCCAGTGAAGCCAAACACGCATGAACACGTATAATCGTTAACACCATCAACACAGGTTGCTCCGTTTCGACAGGTATGACTATGACAATCATCGATGTCTATCAACACCATGAAACAATAAAAAAGGATAGATGTTAAAAAATATACATATTTGGAATTACATTTGAGATTTAAAGAAAGTTAAGTACTTAAGACTGAATAAGACAAGAGAAACCAACGTGAACAGATATCTAAAAAATTATTAAAGAAATAGGAGATTAAATTAAAAAATGCAATAAAACAAAGCAGTAAAAACAAGGACAGAAGGGAGGGAAAAACACGAAAGCAAAAATGGTCATTACAACCTTCCACCATTGGAAAATAAATCTTTGCAAGGAGTGTTCGCTATTAATTTTAAGAACAGTCTACTTACTTGCGCGGAATTCATCAACTTTGTTTTTCTTTCAGAACTAGAAAATTCGAGACTTGAAATTTCCCCGTGAATCTTAAATTTTGAATGTATGTATTTACCTTTAATTAACTGTTTTTCTTATAAAAATAAGCGTCTTAATGGTGTGATTTACTTATCCTCGAGACTATTTTTCACAGGATCATAAACTGAAAAATGGGTGTCACCTTTACAATTTTTTCCATCCCCAGTATAGCCAGATGGGCATGAGGCACAAGATATCGTGAGGTTATTCTTTGTGCATTGTACACCAGGATAACAAGAGCCGTGATTGCAGCGCGTGATCGGGATATCACAATCACGCCCTGTAAAGCCAGCTTTACATATACAGCTGTAATTGTTCACTAAATCAAGGCACGTTCCTTTCGGAAAAAAAAGCAAAAAAACGTAGATTAGAATCCTTTGTTTGCTTAGAATTTGTTGAAGAAAAAACATTTTTTTTTATAAGAACTTTAATCTGTAACATGATAATTCAAAACTACTTAGGAATTAATCTTTGAAATTACCGAGAGTAAATAGTATTTAGTATTTAGTATTCTAAATAGTTTCATACATAGACTACCAAAATTCATTTTGTGGAAAGCTCAATTTCTGCATTGATCTTAAACTGAACAAGATAGCTTTTAGTTGAGACACTTCAAAGAGAGTTTTCTAGTATGGAAGATCTTCTTTTGTATCAGACACCGACATAACATACTTGAAAAGAACCTTTGGCCTCACTTCTCAAATTATGGCCTTTCCAGGGCATGTTTTCATTATCATGCTTGGATAGAGGCCAATTTGTCTTTTTTTTTTTAAGAAACCCAATTTAGAGAATGAATTATTCCAGTATACTGAGACAAACTGAAGCCGTTTTTCTTTTTTCTGTTGTGGAACAGCCTCGATAGCAAAGCATGGTTTCATGTCGTCAGCCATTGTATAACTAATATTAGGTAAGGAGTTAGTACTTTTCAGGATGTACAGCACACACTCGATTGATTGTTTGAATTACCAAGATCACTACGGAGCTAATTGTGACAGGAACCTGGAAGCGTATAATATTAAAAGATTACCATCATTTTCGTCAAAACAACAACGACATTCATAAGAACAATAATTATTGTAAGATTGATACCTTACCATTTAAGCAAGGCGATGACTGACATTCATTAATGTCCACATTGCACTGTTTTCCAGAGTATCCTGATGCACAACTGCATTGATAACCATAGACCTGATCGGTACAATTTCCTAAATTGGGACAAACAATCTAAGAACAATTAGTAGATAAAAGTATCCGCACTTGTAAAATTAAGTAGTTTACATCGTTTCGTTTGGTTTTTAACATATGTTTTAGTTACACTTTGCGAAAATTTGTAAATTAAAGGGCGACTTATGAACTTTAAGTGGTCCAACTCAGCAACGCTACTGCTGTTTACGATGCTTGTTCGCGTACCACTGGAGGCAGGAAAAATATACAATTTTCCCTATGCCGGGGAAACATGGTGTTCTGTCTTGAGCGAAGCCACCAGCCGATTTTATTTAGCAGTACGTACATTTTCTTTTCTTTTTTCAAAAATAAGGAAATTAAGCTATTTTGGAGTTAGTGTTCCAAAACACTAAATGGATGTAAATTTATATATTGATAGAACATTAACTTTCAGCGCTCTATTTGAAGACCTTACCGTGAGAACAAGGAGATGACTGGCAATAATCAATATCGTTATCACAATTTCTGCCATCAAATCCATCATCACAGATACAGGTGTAGTTGTTAATTCCATCGATACACTGCCCTATAGTTCAAGAACACATTCATAACTACAGGTTTTAGTTCTAAGGAAACTGTGGTGCTGCGCTGGTGGAGAGTATATTAAGTATTCTAAATTTAGTTGATTACTTAAAGGGCATGTAAACCCAAAAATACATGTTTTTCTTATACTATGTAAAAAGTGGCGTAGAAAACGAATTTGAAATTAGTTTTGTCCAATTCGACTTATTTTAGGAGAAAATCGGCATTTTCAACTGAAATTCCATTTCCGGTAGAAACAATAGCGAGAAGTCGTGACGTAAGCGGTGGAACCAAAATATTGCGCAACACATATTCCCCAGTAGAACTGGTGTGGGAGTTCGTGTAAGTGGCGGTAGTTCGGAAGATATTTTTTCAGAAGATAGCTACTCGAATGCCTTAAGCTTAGAACATGACAGCGCTGGGGATAATCCAGAATCTTCAGGAGAGTCTGGGCCACGTCCTTAACAATATGAGCCGCGTAGAGTTCACCGAAGCGATCCGCACGAAGACAGTACAGAACATGTCGACAGCGATGCGACCGTCTCGGAAACTCAGACTGGTATTTAATTTACTTTGTGATTTATTTGTATTTAACATGAAAATGCAATAAAGCGAGGGTACAATCTAAAGGAATGCAACAGAATTTTTTTTTAACTTGAGCTTCTGAAAGTGTTTTATATAAAATTATCAAAGGTGCGAGTGTGGAACTTGTCAACCAATGCCGACAACTCATGAAAGTGTTTGTTGTACGGAAATCGGGCAATTGTGGCAAAATGGCCTGAAACCCAGATAAGTTGTATCACTGAGCATCCAGGTTTTCAGTCAATTTGCCTCGATTTCTGGGTGCTGGAGACGGCCAAGTACGCGTACAGGCAGCAGCAAAGCACAGATAATCACACCGGAAACGACTAAGCTAAATATTTTCTGTTTCATCTGTTTTGTTACATTTTGAGATCGATTTACTTGAGTTGTCTCTGCCATTGATTTAATAATACAGTACTAGAGCTAGTTGTTTTTCGCTTCTTTCCTGGCAGGAAATTTCGCTAAATTGCCTACAGATAGCTTGTTCGTTGGTGTTGGGGATATCTCGGAAAACACTTTAGGGTCGCTGTGCTATCTTGTGCGGTAAACAATATCCTTCATCTCAGAAGCATTTCCATCGATAAACAAGTTGTATCATGTACAGCTCAGCGCTGGCTCCCGAACAACTGGCTTCCCCATAATATTTCATTAGATGAGAAAAAAGATGTTTTTAGAGAACCAATAAAGCTATTGTTGTTTAATTAACGAAACGTTTTCGTGTAAATCGATTTTGTACTTTCTCTGTTGACCTCTAACTTTTGAAGAACTTAACTTCTTTCTCAGTTCGGTCGGCCACTTCCGAATCCTCGTCGTCTGCCGACGGTATGGGTCGTTTTTACACTTCCGAACAATTTGCTTCTGGTGAGGCCTGAATCGTCGGTACAACACCAGGAAGAAAAATGACTGCTACAAACAACAGAACGTTCGAACGGCTCGACGAAATCGGCTATTTTCACTTGAACAAATTTCACAAACTGTCGCTTCAAATTTGCGTCATTTGGAAATATTTGCATTGTATGCCCAGTTTTGTTTGAATTAGTACAAAACTGGACGACACAACGCTTCACCATTACGAAAAAATCGAATATATTGAAGCAAACTGTAAGTGAAAAAATCATGACGAGACCAGCAAACAACGGCTGTAGAAAAGACTCCTTCGTGCCTCACGCGATTATAAAACGAGACTTTCGAGGGTCCACCCGTGACGTCACAGGAAAGATGGCGCCATTCAAGATGGCGAATGTTTCGAATTTGGAAGAGCTTTTACAAAGTGAAAATGGACTTTTGAGAATAAACGAATGGTACCTTTGGTGTACTTGATATATTTACTAAACATCTATGTGAAAAGAAAATGAACGTTTTTTGGGTTTACATGCCCTTTAAATAGACCGCCATAAAGAGTTTTAAAGTTGATGTTTCGAGCGTTAGCCCTTCGTCAGAGCGAATGACGAAGGGCTAACGCTCGAAACTTCAGCTTTAAAACTCTTTTCCGTGGCCAGTTTACGTCATCAACTCAGTTGATAATACTTAATTATATACATTAGTGCCTTGTTCAGTTCTGGAGTTATGATTTTAGCACACTATGAGTTGATGATTTATGTTATCGTTAGAATCTTGCACACGCAGAGCACAAAACCCAGTCAATTGAACAATGGCGGACCAATTTTCGGTGAGCAATTTGATCGATTTGAACCTTATAAAATTTCCCCTAAGGCTATGAGATCCGAAATTGCTATGTTCGATCAGACACCACAGTATGAAGGTACTTGTCATATGTTCCAACAAAAAGTACGTAGATTACAGTGCTGCATTTTGGACATACTGCTGATGATAATATGGTAATCAATCAACAAAGCTTAATATTCCACAAATGTAGATGTCACATGTCGTGCTTTGAAGACACGCTTTTTAAAACTTTTTGAAGACCGCATTCCATATTTGGTCTTATATTCATTCTTAGGGCGTTCACTCAGTACAATTTCGCTTTCGCATTCCGTCTTTTTAAGCTTTTTCCTCGACTGAACAACCATCCTTTCACCATTGGTACAACTGTTTACTGAGATACTTTATATGTGAAGCTTATATCATTATAATGCTTACCATAATTATGGCAATTACTTTTTATTATAAAGCAGAGTTAGAATTAATTACCTCGTAAACAAGGAAAAGACTGACATTCATCAATTTCTGTCTCGCAATATTGCCCCGTATATCCTCCGGCACAGTCACACGTGTAAATACCACTTCCTCTGGGCTTGTGAGGCACGCATATACCTTTGTTTTTACATGGACAGACATTGATGGCGATGGTGATGTTTAAAGTAGATGAAGCCTGACAACTGTCGGTGGCTTCAAAGTAGAATTGAGTGGTTTTGTTCGTTGTGACATTCCAAAATAAAATATTGTTCTGTATCCTCGCTTCTTTGGGAGTGCCTTCCAAACTAGAGATGGTTACTGGCATACCTTCAGGATCTGATACTTCGATCAGCAGCTCAAGCTTCTCTCCATAAAGTGCATAGTAGTCAGTCTTGGGTGTGAATTTGGGTGGGTGGTTGACTAAATGTACATAAAATAATGTTTGAGGCTGTTTTTAGTTTAAGAACCTCTACTTATAATACAGAGGTTTCAATAAAAGCCGAACAGCCGCTTAAAAGAACTTTTACTGCTAGGTTCCTGCGAGCAGTCTCTTGTATTTAGATTTCGAGTGGGTCTCACACGAGTAAGTTACGAGCCGACTGGCTGGGGAGCTATTCATTTACAACCTTCCAGCGTTTATAGGCCTACTATGGGACCTTAAGTCGCCGTAACGTTTGGCGACTTTGGGCGATTTAAAGCGACTTAAGGCGACTTTAGCAAAATTGGCACAAAAAATATTGCGACTTTAGGCGATTTTATGTGACTTAAGGTGACTTAAAGCGATTCCATTTGACTGAAGCAATAAAACCAAAGTTTGCAACAGTCTGTCCATAAAATTTAAAAATGTCTACAGAATCCCTTGCAATAAACACAACAGCCGTTTCCGTTACTTAGGTATGCTAATAAGTCACCATAGTCTAAAATATCCAGATTTCAAATCAATTTAGCTAAAAATGTTCAGACAGAATTACCACAATAGCTATTGTAAAATTATACAGTCAAAGCTAGTAAATAAATAGCCAGGAAAACATCATGGGTTACATAAAACTACTTCCTTTCCAGTCTCTCCAACTACTTTTCTAGCTGCAGAAAACTATGATTGGAGTGGAGTGGATAGGGTCAATTGGGAAAGGTGGAACCCTTATGACGTTGCGTAACTAATAGCAACCTAAGGTGACTTTAGGCGACTTTGGGCGACTTTAGGTGACTTAAGGCGACTTAAGGTCTCAGAGTAGGCCTGTTTATCCACGAACACAGCATTCTGATTGGTTAGGAATGACAGGCTAATTACATAAATTTCGCAAAAAGTTATTATAGAAAGTGCTATTTTAGATGCCCAGAAACTAAAGCGAGAATACACCTTTCAGAGCTTTTATATTTCAATTTTTTCTGGGCGAGCATGCCCCCAGAACCACAAAACGTGAAAGGGACCTTTACAGCCCCTTTTCCTTTTAAAAACGCCTATTATACCATCAATAGCCGCCTATTGACAAAGTTATTGAGATCGTTTATATTACTAGATTACCTTGTCGCTTACTCCAAGAATTTGCATCAATATGAGGCAGGCATTGACTACACCAGTCCCCTGGATTTGCTTCATTAGATGCGAAGCAATAATTGTTGATTAGGCAAGAATTTGTCTGTTAAAAGAAAAGAAGAAATAAACACAAAACTATTGTCACACGGCGCACCGTCATCAAGTGTTTTAATTCGATGTTTAACTGAAATAAAGAGGGAAAAGCGAATAATGACTATTCAAGTGGTAAATCCTGAAATAAGCCTAGTGTTTTGCATAATATTAAAATGTCTACTTGCCTTCAGAAAGCATCCTTGTGAAGAATTACAGTTCAAACAAACAGAGTCGTAGGATATGAACTTAAGTTTCTGGTCGCTTTGAGAGAAGCCATTGTTTGACACTGAAATCATCAGTCCAGCTGCTGGTGTTCCTTTCACATTCTCATCATATTGCCTAACCATCACTGGGGAATCTGGTAAAAAGCAGTCCACTAGAACAAGATCCGTCATCACCGCTGGATATTTAACCTCGGCATCATTTGGTACCCATGAACTGTTCCAAATCTGGCGAAAGAGAGAAAAAAGGGAAGAAGTAAGTCGAAGAAAAGGAGGGGAGGAAGAAAGAAAGAGAGCAAGAAAGGAGGAAGGAGGGAGGGAAATTTCTTATAAATTTAGTATTTTCTATCGTCTAATGTAATCTCTAGTGCAAGTTGAGGTAGTACTGAGAGGAGATGTTGCTCGTAACAGTGACTACAGTGAGTGACATTTGAAAATTCAGAGAGAAAACAGCTTTCAGAGTCAAGGAAATTACTGTGTATAATTACATCTAGTACCTAAATTGAAAAACCGTCCTATTGAAAGGACTAACAACGTCAAGTGATCATTTAATACCGTCTTGACAGTAATGACATGGATGTAGTTAGTTAATTACCTTGACTTCAGTTATATGGCAGGTCAAATTGGTCGAATTTAAAAATTGAGTTCCTAAAACGGTTGCCCTCTTACATGGTCTTTGTCGCCTATCACATAATCCATCGCTTTGAAGACTGCAAATGTCAAAATTTAAGACAATGTTACACTGAAATACATTTCTACTTGTTACATTTCTTTCCCTTTTGTTGGTCGAGTACAATCTTGTTGTTAACATAGGCAACTAACTATTTTTTAGTGACTAATTGATTATGCCAAGCTTGGTTGTGGGAGCTTTTACTTTCCTGCAAAACAACCTTTCCTGATATAAAAAAGCTTTAAGGGCTTGATGGTTAAGTGATGCCTCCAACTGAGTGGCGGAGCATTCAATTGAAATCTTGAGTTTGGTCTCTCTTGGAACCAAAACTTTGGGCCTTGACCTACCAGGAACGTTACTCTGGCAAATTGGAACAAAATCTGACTGCGAAATCAGAAATCAGACTGGCTGGGGTTCCGATTCTAACAGGGAACCCAAATGTATCCTTGCTTTGTTTTCCAGCACTCCTCAAAAGTGTTTAATATTTCTGACGAGCCCTGAAGAACGAAGAAAGGATATATTTGTTTCAAATGAATAATGCGTGAACTGACCGCTTTATAGAGGGATTTTGGTAAACTGATATTGAGCAATCGTCAGCAGTATAGCCTTTATCGCAAAGACATGATCCGTGGACACATTTGCCATCAAAAGCGCAGTCATTAGGACACATGATCCTTGCAATCTGGTCTACTATTGTAGGCATTTCCACGTCAGTCACGTCAGTTGCATTAAATGTCATGTTGCGGACTGCCTCGTCGTTGCATTCACTCATTAAAAGGGAAACAGCTCCAATGGCAAAAGAAAGGTCGCCAGTGTACTGAGAAACATTAGATAAAAACAAATTTTAAAAAGCAAGGAAAATAAAGGAAATAGAAGGAACAGTTGATATGTGTTAGACTATCAGTTATTAGATATTCAAATGGCGGGAATTGACACTAATTCGGCAGTAGCGCACCCGGTTTTTATAAAGTTGTTGCTTTCCCTTAGTTTACCTGTCACCGCATTTGTTAATGTCACCTGGTTCCGGCGGTATTTAGGAGTGTCAGTTGGTCGTATGATTTTTTTCCGATCTTTTTTTTTCTGATCTATTTTTTAACGAAAACGGCTTTGTAATGGCCATTCTTGTAGCACGCGTATTAATACTATCAATATAGCTGAATCAAAGTGTGTGCCGAGTGTGGGTATGACAGTCGTTCGGCATGAGTCAAGTTTCGGATAGTAGCGAACGTAAATATGGTAATATACCTACTGAACGTAACAAGAAATTAGCGTACTTAACGAACCTATTTCCATTGCATCTTACTTCATGATCGTTACGAGATCCTCCTGTATTAACTTTGCAAGGCTACTATGTTTGCTTTCATAATATTATGAGTAGGATAGCTATACGGCAACAGGAACAGGCTGCTGCTAGAGGATTGACTTGCACTGTAATTATTCCAAATTTTTCTCTGGCAGGTAGAATGACAAGATGTTTATCTATCGACTATCATAAGTCTGACACTGCAATTCTAGAAAATGTCGGTCACAGTCACCAAGAATGGCTTCTTTTAATACTGTAACCCCTGAACGAGCAAAGTTCAAGGTACAAGTTTTGATTATACATAGAGTGCTTGAAGCGTACCTCGATATCAGCCGAGCAAACATTAACTAGGGCTTGTATGTTTGTTCCTAACTTGGCACACAATTTTCCCATGGTTGTATTTGCTAGTTTTTCCGTGCAATACCGCGTCGCATTTTCCTTTGAAACTTGAACTATCGATCGTTTTTGTCGCTCATGAACTTCTGGATGATCACGTTTCTTGAACAACTCAAAATCGTCCTCCGTCAGGTCATCCGAACTTGTTATGTCTCTCTTAACATTCCTGTTACACATCAGTATTCTATTAAGCCTTTGATTAGTTGGGAGGCCCGGGAAGAAAACAGGTATTCCATCATGACATTCATCTGTTATATTTTTGTTTTCGTCTTCGCTGCAAGCACAGGCCTTTTCAAAGTTTACTCCACCACTGTGTTCATTGATCTTGCCTGGAAGTTTATGGAAGTAACTTGGGAATTTTCTGCAACATAAACGAGACATAGATTGAATTTAAGCATTCCAAAGTTATCAATTATTTATCATACAATAAAAACTAAAACAAAAGCAAAAATCAAGCAAAAACAACTTGCAACAAAGTGATGTTTAGAAAGCTGGAAAATTGATGCATCTTTATGAGGTCAATTACGGAGTACATGCAATGCAATGTTCTATGGGCGAGTTTCTTTCACAATTTACACAAGCTGCCAAAAAACTGGTAATAAGAATTTAGCGTGTCGTAAATTCAAGGTAATTAGGCTCAATGAATATTGCTGAATAATCCCCTGATTTCGTTTTGGGGACTATTCAACAATATGCACTTCGCCTAAGTCGAATAACTGCTAAGTAGCATATAGCGAAACAGTGGATAGCGTTCAAAGCGCGCTTTGGCTACTCAAACTCTGAATACCCTTTGCTATTAAACTCCGAGCACTGCGCACGGGATTTGTGACCGGAAATATTGTAACTATTACAGGAATGAATGGATCAAATCATCTCCTTGTGCCTCAATATTGAACTGTTTCAATATTTACTAAAAAAATAATTCACCTCAGTGTCGGCGGCTAGCGGTGGATATTTATCGAACCTCTTTGCAGTTAAGTAAATATCCATCACGAGCCATCAACATAAACCAAAGGCGAACTGAGATTTTAAAAGATATTCTTGCCTTTGACTGTTTCCGAATGTATTTATATCACCCTTTGTTGGTAAATACGTGCATAATCCGTCCTCGTTAGCCTCTTTTTCCGCTCGCGGAGCGTAGATGGTGACATCTATGCCCCAATAATTTCTTTCCAAGTCAACCTTTATTCCAGTGGGAAATATAACCTGAAAGAAGGTTTGGCCATTAGTTGCGCGATAGGGCAAAAAATACAATAGATTTTGAACCAAGAGAGAAAGTTTGTTGTTAATATGTGAAAATAATATTGATATTGCTAATGATAACAACAATGGTTAAGTGTCAAATCTGACAACAACAATTTTAATGGCGACGATGATGATGATATGCATTGTAATCCTGAAAGTAAGTTCAATAATGTGAATGAAAACGATACTGTAATCCTTGCAATGCATCATCAACATTCTTCCCAGTGCTCCCCTTTAAAGGCAACAATTTTGGCCCTCCGACTTATTCTGTTGCCACTTTATTTAATTGCCTGGGAAAAATTCAAAGCACTCACCTCGTACTTGCTGTTAAAACCTCTAATAAGCTGTTTCAAGGATATTCCTGGGGCTAGGCATTTACTCCGAGGTATGGTAACTTGTATTGGTGTGGTGTCATCTCTGGTGAGACTTGGATTGCAGCAACTAAATTTAATAAGGTCATTATGATCTCGTAATATGACTCCGCAGTTACAAGTTACGCTTTTGGCATTGTTGCAGGCCCACTGTCTTGTCTGCACCTGCAGATTGGAAGATCACCATTAAATTCGACATGGTGCGGCAGCGTAACGAAAGGGATCGCTTCCGCGAAAATTGTTTGACATTTTTAAAAATGGTTTACTTCCGTAGCAAACAACAGAGCGTTATTTCAAATAAACAAATGAAATAATCCAATTGGCTATGGGCGTAAATGCATTGGAAAAAGTTGGTAAATTATCTAAATCCTTAATGGAACAGTAAATGAAAGAAAAGCGACGATAAAATGTATTGTAGGAGAAAAATCTGTCTACGCAACATTAAGCATTATAATACATTCGTTGTAATGTAATTGACTACTTCTAAATTATGATAATTAGATATTACAGCTCTTTATTCATATGGAGAACTAAAGAGGTTTGGGGGCTGCTCAAGAAGTTATAGGGTTGCTCGTATTGTCGACTCTTACTTTTTGTCCTTTCCAAACCTCCCGCAACCAGTCCATTACGATCTTGATATTAGAAAATCACTGAAATTAGGCTTCTAAAATTGTTTCACGAAAATTGTGAGGTAAATGATATATTTAAGGTGCGAAAATTGTTAACATTTGATATATGTCACCTCAAAGTTTTTTTCGGTGTTGCTGTACAAAGTAAAATCACCATGGCCCATGAAATCTCTCCAACCCACGCTAGTAAAAAATTAAAAGAATAGTAAAGCAAACAAACAAACAGAAAAAGGAGAACGGATATTTCTTCGGGACGGAGAGGGAGGAATATACAAGTTAGGAGGACTTTGATGCTGAAAACGTCAGCAGTGTCGATTATTGCGGGGGTATGGTAATTATTAACGGGGAACAGTGCTCTTTGTGTTGATTATGACTACAGTGACTTCCGTTTGGATGTTGAAGACGGTAAAAAGGTGCTTTGACTTTTCCAAGTGTTGTTATTAGCCTTTATTTGTATGATCAGTTGTGGTAGCTATCTCTCACAGGACCATGGGACTTGTACTGCTGCGTACCTAGTTAGCCTTGTGCTATCTATCTGCGAAACACATTTTCAACTTTTAGCCTTGTCTGCTAGTGACAAATTGATTCCGAGTTGGCCTGTACCTTCTCACTGCTCTGTGACAGTATTGAGCAGTGTCCTTTAACCGTGCAAATTCTTGATATAGCAGTTTTACTAATTTTGCCGATTGTAAAAGACCCTCTTAGTATTTTAGCAGTTTGGTATTTTATAAACGTTAGAACGGATCAAATTGTAAAAAGATATATGGAGATAAACTACTTTTGAGGGTTCTTCATTTACGTGTTTAGGATTGTTATTACTATATTTTGCTACCTTGGATCCATCATACGGATGTGAGGATCAGTTACAGATCTGCATTTCCTCGTCTCAGTGTTTTTTTGTTGTACAGTAACCTGTAAAGCAAAGGTAATTAAATGTGATTAAACTTTCAAATGTAGCTGGGAGTTACTTCCTGCGGTCAGTGGGAGGGAAAGCAGTTTTTTTTTTCGCTTATTAGTTGACAAACAAGCAGATGGAATCGCAACTAAACTTGAGTCGTTTGACGGGTTCACAGGATATCCTATCTCAGTGTAAACTAAACACTCTTCTTCATTGATAGCTTTTGGACTCAAGAGTAATCAGTCAAAGATGGAAAGAAGCAAAATGAACAGGTTAAAACCGAATAGAAAAAAGCAAACAACTCGTGTTCGTCTAACATTCTGCGCGGCTTTAGTAAAATTCAGATATAACGCGCTGTCATTGGTTGAAAGAGCGTGCTCTATCAGAGAACAAAACACGGAGTCTCGCCATCTGCCAATTTTTATTATGTACGACCATTTCCCGGACTTCTCTCTGGATTTTATTCGTTAACTTCAAAGTGAAATTTCGGAATAAGCGAGCCGGTAAGTAACAACAAGAGAACCAAATAAAGGGTTGGAAACGTGCTGAACGCCGTAATTGACGTTTTAATAACGTAAACAGAGGCAAAATTCCTCAAAAAGAAACGAAATGGACTGCCCGAGTAATAAAGCTTGCCAATCTCAGTTAGGTTATAAGCTTACGTACGATAATAAAACTCAAATCCAGCTAACACTCGCATAGTTACATAGTTGCGTGTTCAAAAACAACACAGAATAAAACAGCAATATTAAAATAAATATTACCAAACTAAAAATTAAAATTCATACAAATCATGATGGTGACACAGTTTGTGAACTACTGAAGATTGGGAATCCTGATGGTTTGTGAACCTTGATGGTTTATCATTTTTGACAGCTTAAGTCTTATTCAAGTAATTAGATTATTTGAACCACTCTAACAAGGATTATGATTGGCCTATTATGGCGCGCTTTATGAGAATACAGAACATGCTGACGGTACTTTTGTTCGCTTCCCAATTTAAATTTGTTTGAAAATAGTAAGAAATTCGTGGGAAATTTGACGAATTCTTTATTACTCAAGAAGTGGGAAGAAACACTCGACGACGTCTCATGTTTCTCCTCACACTTCTTTCGTGCTCTAGCCGCTTCCTACGTGCTTTACAACAGAACAGCGCAGTCAAGGCTTCTCTATTTGTTTTATAATAAAGAATCCGTTAAATCCCCCATGTATTACTTTCAATTTTCAAAACAAACTTTATTTCCAAAGCGAACAACAGTGTCGTCAGCATGCTCTATACTCTCATAGAGCACGCTACAATAAGCCAATCAGAATCCCAGTTAGAATGGTTCAAATAATCTGATTGGCTGTATAAGACTAAAGCTGTCAAAAATGTCAAACCATGAAATTTCACATTCTGCAATAGTTTACAAACTTAAGAGTTCGGCGTGTTGAATTTAACTCTTTCGCCTGAAGCCTTTTAGTCTCTAACGCAGAGTCTGAAAGTGAAATGCTCAGTGAAATCCGGCCGAATTGTGGCCCATAAAAAAACGCAAGTTTTTTTCAGACGACGATTAGAAAACTAACTGTTCAAGCGTTCGTTTTATGAATGAACAACAGTCGAATCTAACGGAACATAAAGATTGATCGGGATGACAGCGCCGTAAAACTCAGCTGCTGTGACCGATGTTGCCTTCCACTCAACGCATCGGAAAGGATACCAGAGCAAGCTCTTAGCTGTTCTCTCGAAGGACGGCCGGCGTAATTTCTGAGGCTTACTTGACTGCGATGACCCGAGATCGCCATGATCAGCTAGCCGCGTTGGACCTCAGCGTGACACCGTCATGATTAGTGTGAGTTTTTAACAGTTATGCCAGTTTGGCTATATTTCTGTACTGCTGTTTAAGTCGCTCTTCACTGTATCTATCTACGTTCGTTTTCTGTTCATCTTATGACCTTGATTTTTCTGGAGTTACGAAGATCACCAATGAAGGAGATTTATATCGTGCAAGTTGCCTGTCGTCGATGCATCGGACCCGCCATCTTGGATTTTCATCTTCGACACGATCGCATCGCTACTTCACTTCACGGATATCTTACACTCCGAACTCTGTTTCCACCTTTAACCTTAGGTGCCTTCGCTTAACAACTAGTGGCGACATCAGCCCGAACCCTGGTCCACCCATCATGTCCTTTCCAACAAATCGTCGAGCCGTTCAACATCGAAGCCATTATCATAGCGACCGTTCCAACCTTGTGCAGATCAATTGTGTATCAGATCTCCATTTGAGAAAATCGGCTACTCATCTGACTGTGTGCACTCTGCATTGTTTGTCGATTATATCAACGAATGCAAAGCTGACTTATGTGCAAAAACTGAAACTTGGTTGTCGGACAACGACTCTGCTGTTTGTTACGAGATAACTCCACCTTGCTACACACTGTTCCACTTCCCTAGAAGTGATCGTAGAGGCGGTGGTACGGCCCTTTTATTTAGGGATAACGTTAATGTTTGCATACTTAAATCTGGCTCAAGGAATTCCTTTGAATTTTCTGAGCATCTCGTCTGCACTGGCTCCTTACGCATTCGATTTGTAATTATCTATCGACCGCTATATTTTACAAATCATCCTGTGACGGTCAACAGTTTTATTGATGAATTTTCAGAATACCTGGAATCTGTTATATTATGTAATGATCTCCTCTGTCTAAATAGCGATTTTAACATCCATGTTGATGATCACAATGATCCAGCTCCTTTTCGTCTCTTGGAGTTATTGGAGTCGACGTCGTTAACTTAACATGTGGCGGAACCAAAGCATGAATATGGCCATACACTAGATCTGGGAATTACTCGAGAGTCAGACAGCCTAATTTGCGGTCGACCCGCACCTGATATCTTATTTTCAGACCATCTAGCACTACTATTTAAATTGAAAACAGTTCGACCACCTCTCAAAGTTGGCCGTGTCTCGTTTAGGAAGCTGCGATTAATTGATAGGGATGCATTTATGGATGAGACTCGTAATAGCGAACTTTTCCAAATGGATACTGATGATCCTGATGAGCTTGCTGCCTTATTTGACAGTATATTACGTTCCCTGCTGGATCGTCATGCTCCCGTTATGCATAAGAATACTACTAGTCGACCATGTGTTCCATGGATGAACGACAAATTAAATTGACTAAACTATAAAGGAGGAAAGCTGAAAGGAAATGGAGAGCTTCTATAGCACACATCGATTTACTGTCTTTCCGTACTATGAGAAATTGTGCGACGTTTCTGAGTAACAAGGCTCGTAATGACTATTATATCAACTTCATAACTGAGAACAGCACAGACCAGAGGAGGTTATTTAGAGCAAGCAAGTCTTTGCTAAATTTATCTAAATGTTCTGGCTTCCAATATCTACCAATGATTATCAGTTGGCTGATGATTTTGGAAAATTTCTTCGCCCAAAAAATTGCTGATATCAGGTCTGATATCAGGTCTGTTAGCACAAAACAGATCTGCCTTCCTGTCAACGCAACTAGTACTGTGACTGTTTCCTGTTTTTCATAATTTTATCTGTTGTCTGAATCAGAGGTGTTTGATCTAATCACAGCTTCGCCTAAAAAGTCCTGTTCTATTGATCTTATTCCAACCAAGCTTCTTAATGAGTGCATCGATGTGCTACTACCTTCGATCACCAAAATAATTAACCTTTCGCTTGATTCTAGTTATTTTCCGCGCACCTGGAAGCGTGCTCTAGTGTGACCACTGCTGAAAAAGGATGGATTACCCCCTGTCGTTAAGAACTTCAGACCAGTGAGTAATTTGGCATTTATCTCAATGCTAGTTGAGACTGTGGTTGCCAAGCAACTACAACATTATTTAAATTGTCACAATCTGTTCCCAGTGTTCCAATCAGCTTATCGACAAAACCACAGCACATAAACTGCGCTGCTTAAGGTTATGAATGACATTCTCTGAACATGAACAATCAGTGTGTTACTTTGCTAATTCTGCTCGACTAGAGTGCTGCCTTTGATACAGTTAATCACGACATCATGCTAAGTTGACTTGAATACTCATTTGGTATACAGGGAAAAGCCCTCTCCTGGTTTGCATCCTATTTGTCTGGAAGAACTCAGCGGATAATGATCAACGAGTCACTATCTAAGCCTTTTAAATTAGAATGCGGCGTGCCTCAAAGTTCCTGCCCTGGTCCGCTATTGTTCACGTTGCACACGAGTGAGCTTTTTGAGATAATTAAACATCACCTGCCGATGATTCACAGTTACGCTGATGATTCACAAGTTTACATCTCATTTAGTCTGAACGACAGAGCTGAACAACTTGCTGTGGTGAGGAATGTGGAAGACTGCATCAGAGACATTCGTTCTTGGATGTTGAATAATGATCTTAAGTTTAATGACGACAAGACTGAATTCCTCATCATTGGTTCATCACAACAGCTGGGAAAGCTAAATAATATCAGTATAAGTGTGGGTAACTCAGATATTCATCCCGTGCCACTCGCGAGAAATCTTGGTTGTTGGTTTGATTTTAGGCTGTCCACGGCATAACACATCACAAAAATCTGTGCCTCTTCATTTTACTATATTTATAATATTCGTCGGATCAGAAAGTATCTTTCACAGCAGTCATCTGAGATACTTGTCCATGCATTCATAATAAGTCGTCTTGACTATTGCAATGGTCTTTTATATGGATTACTAGACTACTTGTTGAATAAACTGCAATGAGTACAGAACGCTTGCGCCAGACTGATTTTTAGAGAACAGAAATTTTGTCATATAACGCCTCTATACTCTCATAGAGCACGCTCTTTCAACCAATGGCAGTGCGCGTTATATCCGAACTTTATTATAAAATTGATTAAAGAAGCTTTGCCCGTGCTCTGTTCTGTTGTAGACCTTTTAGGAAGCGGCTACAGCACTCATGAAGTAGGGAGGAACACTCTCGCCACTCCATAATTACAGAAACCTAATGTTGCTATATAACTGAACGAGATCTTAAGCACATTTCTCCAACAGTTTACCAAAGCTTAATCCAGTTTAAAGAGCTAATGTGTCAAAATTCGCACGCCTCCATGTTAAAAACAAAATATTGTTAATGCAGTTTTTGCCAATATTTTGTCAATTTTTTTTACTGACTGCGCTTATCTTAACATTTTTTATCTTCGATTCCGGAGGCAGCTGATGGAGAACTTTCTAAATCAAAATGCACATTTGGTAATAATTTAGCGTAAGAACATTCTCTGTTTCTGTTTAAGTATTTTGGTCGTACTGAAAAAACAGGTTTATTTTCATTTGAAAGTGAAAGTGACCTAAGTGAAACTTTTCCTGAGGAAGTGAGGAAACGGGAAGTGAATTTGCTATTTTCGTGACGATCGCGTAACAAAGTAACTAGACGCTGGAGAAAGTCCTTAATGGCAAGTAAATCAGGTTCTATTCATATCTTAGCACTAGTGTAAGATTACGTACCCAGATTGTAGGCAGACCGAAGTAAGCCCAGAATTTACTATGGGCATGGTTAGTAAACGTAGGGGTGACAACATTCAGCTTATTGCTGCCATGAAGAGTTGTACAGGTGGCCCCTATCTGTACTGTAACAGATTTGGTTTCCTCCATTTGTATGTGACAGTTTTTCTTATCCATGATCCATAGGCCTGGAGGAAGAAAAAACTTCACGAAGAGGTAGTGGCCAAGGAAATTTTTCCGCACTGGTATTGTTGGAGTGAGTGTGATATTTTTAGGGGTGTCACATTCCTTTATGATGAGGGTGGTAGGATAGACCTGAAAATGCGAAAGATGTAACACTTGTAATGAAAAACGAGTGCAACTAGCAATTCACCTGCTTAAACTTTCTTAAACTAAAGGAAGATGCAAAGATAACTTTGCTATTGTAGCTATTTTTTCATTTTTTCTCTTATGTCATCCATGTTTTTTCCACCCCCACACAGGTATTTAGGTCAGCCACTACTTTGAAAACATTAAAAAGGGGCGAAAAAATGTTCATTCTCAAAGTGGTCGGTGCCTATGTGGGAGGAAAACGATACGTTCAATCTGGAGCCGTTTATTATTTTTTTTCTTTAAGTTATTTATGTGTGAGGGGTATCAAAGTGATGCTCGTTCAATTTTCACGGTAGAGTTTTGCTCTTCAGACTGTTCGGAAAATTACAATTTAAAATCCGCTATAAAGGCTGCTTATTGAGTCAAACTACTCAAAAAAGATGCAAGAAAAAAAAAATGCCACTACAGTTATAAAACGTTCGCGGAGGATTATGTGGAAAACATGGAGAACAAAAACACACTCATATTAAAAGAAAACCAAGTTTTGAAACTTGTAATTAAATGTTTTAGACCACTTTTCTCGAGGCAAGTTTGAAATTTTCATTTATTGAAGACAGCCAATTTGAATGCCATGTTCACCAGGTCCTCGTGTAACATTGCCGTGTACACCAATTTAATTAACGGTGGTTTTTTTTTACCTCTATGCCAGCAAAAAATGGCTGCGTGACGTGCAGTGGGTCTGACCAGCTACTGGAATTAACATTAGTGAACCTCGCAGATACATTGCATGATATCTGTCAACGTAATGAAGAAATTAAATTTCAGTCATTCAGTCAGCGGAAACATCGTAAAAACGATTGTGTATGGAGGTTGCAACCTTTGAAAAGGTTTGTTGGTAATAAGCAGCATATCTGTAATGTTCCAAAATAATCATCCTTTTAAATGCAGCTGTATTGAATTAAGTCAGGATGGAATTGGATTTGCCGTGGAAACATCAGGGCATTTTCCCCATTGCATTTAACTAAAAGAGCATTACACCAGCTGACAGAATTAAGTCTTCTTGGCCCATGTCATTTGGATTTATCTCGGCTCAGCGCAAAATTCCAACCTCTTTCCTAGGATATTTTTATCCAGACTGACTAAAATAGGGTAGAAGAGCATGGAAATATAAAAACATGTTGTGGTTTCGGCGAACTTCTAGAATAGCCGGCCAACAAATTGCGTGCATTTTCGAAAATTCGACCTAACAATGCACACGGAGCGGTCTTCGGAAACGAAACTTATACGACCAACTTATGTTTGACGAGTGATTTGAGTCCATAACAGCCTTTTTAAGACTCGCAATAGGATAAAACATCATTAAGTAAAGAAAAATCGCCATCTTCATCTAGAAAAATACAGCCACCAAAAGTTGACTCTTATCTCTAAGCGATCTACTGTTTTGTTTATCACTAAGTTAATATGGAAGGGGAAAAAACTTCGGAGGCAGGATAGCTATGACAAGATTCAGGTTTATGCAGAATATTTCATGCATGTTGATAATTTAGAAACTGCTCATCTTTATAGCACTTAAAGTGCAGTTATGTTAATTCAAAAATAATCTTTAATTTAAAAAAAAAATCTCGCCATGAGAACTATAAGTTCTCGTAGAATTGTAGGAAAAAGATATATTTCGATAAAAACTAGATTATTATTTCCCTGTAGATATAAAGAACGGTACAGAACTTCTCTCGTATTCGTGAATTTTGTGTCACGCAATGCAACCTTACAAAATTCAATTACGCAGTTCGTTTGAAATAATTTCACTCACATGCAGTTGCGTAAATTTAGAAAAACACCTATACCCACTACTTTTCAAAATCGTCTGTCGTGTAAAAGTAGTCACTATCATATATCTGTTAAAAGGCATTGTGTAAACTCGGATAGATATTCAATTTTTCAAATTGTTTTAGGAGGCCGCCTTAGCCAGAGAAAACCAACTTAATTTACCAATAATTTAATTCATAAATAATTCAATTTAATTTACACGAAACCTTTGTAACGATTTGGTTCACGATTTGCGAACAACAAGATGGGTTCTCCATGCTTTTTGTCGTGCTTTTCGAAATATAGAGGAACGTGTGGTAGCTCAAGAGGTATTACACAGTCCGTGAGCCTTAGGAATTGCAATGAGTCAATTGTAAACCATCTAAGCTCTTGTCATTTATCTCCCGAAACGCTAACTGAGCATGAACTTATTTTAGCTCGAGTGTATTTTTGAATGACCAGTTTCAAAGCTTAGTGAATCGATGATATGCCCAAGACATCGAAAAAAGTTGGGGAAGTACTGGATGCAGCGAAGGCCCTGCAATACCCCACCCACCAAGGCAGTGGTAAAGCTATAAAAAAGGAGGGATGTGGTTAATCTCAAAATGGCCAAAGAAATCCTGAAATTTCATAGAATGGTTGTCCCAATTGGATCAGGTGAGTCAGTTACGAAGTTCTCCTTGTTGTACTTGTTGGAGGACCAATTTTATATTTCCCGCATTTTCGATGTTGTCGCTTTGAAAATAATGTTAGATAATATCACTTAGCCTCAGTATGACTTCTAAAACTTTACTAAGACGTATTAAGCTAAGTGCACGAGTGATTATTACTAACTGAACACACCATACTTCATCGATTGTGTGGTCAGCAAATCCTTTTTTTAAATTGATCGCAGCAAAAGAAAGACTGAAGAAGTACTCAGTTTTACAACAATATTCAGTGATGACATTCGCTTGGGGTAGCCTTCTTCTCGGTGTTTCGCAGGTCATGCTCCTGGGGCGAGGAAAGAAAGAAGAAGATAAATTCTTGGAATGCACTTGCCTCGGGATATTTTGAGGAAGTTTTGATCGTGTGGCCTAAAACTGTTTATGACTGCTAGAGGAAATTTCAAAGAAAGCTTCAAATAATATATTTTTTCTTCCAGTAGTTTGCATTAATCGTCGGAGGAGACGTAAAGCTACCATTGAAGAGTCGGGTTGGGCTCCAGATGTAGAGAATAAGACCGGTATCGACTCAAGCAGCTCACCACACCTACATAAGAGGTAAATTCTTACATGAAAATATGGGATATCGCATGGTACGATTGAGCTCGTAGAGAATTAAATAGAAACTTATAAATGAAACGTAGATGGACGTAGACAGATACAGCCAGAGGGAGATCAGAGAAATGAGAGAGGAATGACTGAAAAATTGGAGTAAATGGAGAGGTAAAGACAGAAAAAGAAGGGGCTCCTAAGGAGGTTGCTGCGACAGCCCATTACGCCCACGAAGAAGTGCCTTCAACACCAGGAACCGACGTTAGCCATGTTCAGGAAGACACACTGTGGACTCCTCGGTTCTGTCCCTCTGATGATTTAGAAAGTAGTAGAGAAGAAAAAGAATCACATCTAACGATTAGGAGTAATTGCAATGCTTCCGTTCGGATTTTTAATTCTGCAATGGAAAACCTTAGAGGTGTCAGGGCAAAAAAAAAAATTGATCAGCTGCAATATCAGCTGAAAAGCTGGGATGCTCGTAGTGATATAGAGCGAGAAAAAATTGTTTGTAAGGCTACCGAGGCATGCAGGTTGGTTTGCAATGTCATAGCACCAAATGAAAAAAGCCAGAATGCTCAATTCTTCTGAAGGCCCCGGTATCCCAGTAGCCAAGATACCACAGCGTCGAGTTCGATTAGATAAATGTCAGTTGGATCACTTTCTGGAATTGACATCTCGCCTTACTACTATCTGGATGTGGCATTTGGAAGCCGAAAACTCAAGCTTGAAAGTGGTGAGAAATTAGTGATGCCAAACATAGTGCGTACCGTTGCAAGATGTACAATCATTAACCAGTACCTTGATTTCTGCAAGAGGAAAATTTCAGTCCCATGAGTCGCGCCATTTTGTGGAGGATTCTTGAAGTTCAGGAAGCCTCCCAAAGAAAATCCCTTGAAGGTCTTGATAACACGGCGGCAAATGGGGTCGATGGTTATTGAAGCACTTCGCAAGATTTTTTGGACGAATTGGAAGAAGTGGGGGCGAACAAGTAGTGGTGTGCGCTAACGTGCACAAGGCTGAAAGAGGCTAAGTTATATTTGAAGACGACCATTCGAGATAACTGCAAAGCGGAAGACCAGTGTCCCGACCACTGTACTGCATTCGCCCTGAGCGATCCCGCTGATGCTGATTATTGCACAGATTGTAGCTTCGACCATAATATTTCATTTTACGACTGTGAGGCACTGAAGGAGGCTATTCAGATATTTCATTCTGCCATTGGAAAGTATTGCTCCAAGATAATTAATAAAGATAAGGAGGATGGTCTTCGACATGATGCACTTGTCACTGAAGAAAAAGTCAAGGAGTGGATGGCACGCATTATGCGTGCCCACGATGAAGAAAAATGCAAGCAAAGCATCCCGCATTCTTTTCTGGAGGACAAAGTTTTTATATTATCTGACTGGGCAATGAAGCTTTTGCGAATAAAGTTTCGCGAAAAGCAATCAGAGTGGTTTCCAAAGAAAGGCATATACAGTGTCATTGTCAAGAAAGGAGGGGAGCTAGAATTCTCCTCTTACGCTCACCTGTTGAACAGTAGTATAGCCAAGATTGGTTCGCTGTTCTCTCAATCCTAGAGCAACTCATGGCTGTCATAAAAGTAAGCCATCCAACCAATAAAAAGGTGTACCTAGGATCAGACGAGGTGGGTTGTTATAACAACAGCAGTCTCTTAGCGGCCCTCCGAGATGTTGGAAGTCGTCAGGGAACTGAAGTTGTGAGATATGATTTCTCAGAACTATAGAACAGTAAGGATATTTGCGACAGGATTTTATGTCCGATGAAAGCCGCCGTCAAACGTTACTGCAACGAAAGTCATGATATTTTGACGGCTCAAGACATGCAGACTGCCCTCAAAGAAAGACCAGTAAGGGGAACGACAGTAAGAGTATTCTTCATGAACGACAAGAATATAGCTCTGAAGAAGTTAAAGAAGATCCCTAATTTCAGCGCATTGCACAATTTTGAGTTTACCCCTGGCGGACTTCGAATGTGGAAGGCTTTTAAAATTGGAGCTGTTAAGCTAATTGCATGGAATGACATCATATTTTGTCCACAAGAGGAAAAACCGTTTTTTGTAATCTTAGCACGAGAGAGGGATTAGACGAGTGAGAGTTGACGATGTCAGTTTCACCTTCGAATGTCCCCATCCCTAATGCTCAAAGGAATTCCTTATTCGTGTAAAGCTGGAAACCCATCTAAGTGTGACTGCAAATCACAGCCCAATGAAGACGGTACAAAGGGGCGTGTATGACCAGTAACGAATCGATTGGGTTCAGCGTTTCCAGAGCATTTCATTGGATTCCAAATGGAAGTCTCGCCCCTAGAAAGAAGTTCAAATTGAAACCACAACCGAGGTAAACTTGCTCCGAATGGGTTGGGCAGTTCACAAACCTAAAGGCGGACAAACACGCTTTTCTGACAAGGTCCGTGGGTACTTACAAAGAAAAGCTTGACATTGGTCAAAAAACTGGGAGGAAGGAAGATCCCGCACAAGTAGCTAAAGATATGCGCAATGCTCGCGACACCGATGGCACACGAATCCTTAGTAGAATGGAATGGCTTTCAAAGCTTCAAATCCAGGCGTTTTTTTTCGCAACTCTTTGCGAAGAGAAAGCAATCAGATGGTAAGGAAACCTCCAGCGATAACGACGAGCCTGACGATGAGATTTGATATCCCATCTAACTTAAGAGACACTAAATCACAAATAGTCGAAGATTGCTCATGCATAAAAGAATTAAATTACGCAATGTGAGTTTCAAACAACTATTTTGGTAAATTGAAATTCCACAACTTTGTCAATGGTGACATCTGTGACAGTTTGGATTATTTGGATTCTGGATTACGCGTAGCAGGAACATCCGATGAGGTGAAAAAAATACGAAGACTTGAAAAGATTTACATTTATTTGAACTTTCTTAAACACCAGTACCAAACAAGGATACCGAATGAAATATATCCTTCTTCTTTAAGATGGGGTTTGGGACTGCCTAAGGTTGTGTGGAAAAAAAATTAATTAATAGAAAACTCATCCGCGCACTTTTAGGTGCTTGAACGATTTGCAGGAAAAAGAAAAACCAAGTCTCGCATACTCTATAGCCTTTGGAACTATTCTACCCGTTTGATTTACTATGTGTTCTGGTCAAATCTTAAGTCGTAGATGACTATTTCAAAACTAGTGGTTAATCGACGTGGACGAAGGGTCAAGAAAGAACTTAAATAACATAGGTCAGTATGCCAATGGTTATTACTAACAAACCTGACGTCGCGTGACGGGTGAGTTAAGTTACCGAGTTATCAGCACTATTTTGAGACCTTACGGCGGTACACAGAAGTCTCATCGTCTTGGAAAAAAAATCCACCACGTTTTTTTTTTGGGGGGGGGGAGGGGAAGGTTTCATTCAATGTTTTTTTTTCTGGCGACTTCGTGAGATGTCATTAATTCAGAAGAAAGGACCTTAAGATAAATTAGATCGCGTGGTAAAAATATTAGTTGATTACATGTCACATACATCAACTGGAAACGACTTCACTCTAAGTCAGTACCACGAATACAAAAACTTCGACTTTGAAACTTAGCGTTATTCTGAATAAACCGGAACCTTGTCATAGGTATCCTGCCTCTGAAGTTTTTTTCTCCTTCCTTACTAATAGAGTGACAAACAAAACAATAGGTTGCCTAGAGGTCATACATGTCTGTGGAGATAAAGAGGAATTTGTTGGTGGGAAGCGGAATAGGCTGGATGGCGACGACGCTTTTGTCCGTGAAACAAAGAGTTTGTTATATTTATTTTCTGAGCTTGGCGATGTTGAGATTCGTCTCGCGGAATATTTTCTAAGTGTCTTGCATATTGACTTCCGGTATGACGGGTCGACATCAACTGTGACGATTCGCGTAGAATCGAGTCGATTCGACAATATCTGCAACCCCCTTTCGTGATCACTGCGGAACATTTTCTAGCTCTCTTGAAAATCGATCTCCGGTACGACGGATCGACGAGTCGTTCGATTCGACAACACTTTCAACGACCCTTGGTAGTTACTTGCGGCTTATTTTCAAAGTGTCTTGCAAATCGACTTCCGGTGTGACGGGTCGACTTTAACTGAGACGAGGCGTTTAATTCTAGTCGAATCGAGTCAATTCGACAACATGTTCAACCCCATTTAATAGCTAATTGCGGAATATTTTCTTGGTTTCTCGCAAATCGACTTCTGGTATTACAGGTCGACTTTGACTGAGACGAGTCGTTCGATTCGGTCGATTTCAACAACCCTTGACAGTTACTTGCGAAACATTTTCTAAGTGTCTTGCAAATTGACTTCCGGTATGCGTTCCTATCTGATGAGAGATGGTTTATAAGATTTCCGGTATAACGAGACGAATTATCCGCGAGCCGACCTCCAGTAGAACGATTCGCAAACTGCCTTTGGCGAATCGTAGCGGTTTGGGTGTATTGGACAACCCGAGCCAAGAGTCAACTTTCGGCGGCTGTATTTTTCTCGATGAAGATGAATGTTTTATCCTATTACGAGTTCTAAAAAAGCTTCTATGGACTCAAAGCACCCGTCAAACATAAGTTGGCCGTATAAGTTTCGTTTATTTTTTAGACCGCTCCATCTGCATTGCAAGGTCGAATTTTCCAAAATGCACGCAATTTGTTGGCCGGCTATTATAGAACTTCGCCGAAGCCACAACATGTTTTTATATTTCCATGCTCTTCTCCCCTATTTTAGTCAGTGTGGATAAATATATCCTGAGAAAGAAGTTGGAATTTTGCGCTGAGCCGAGACGAAAAGTTGCATATTTCCGGTAATGGTTTATCATATGTATGCTTCAATTTGGTAATGTAATAAAATCCGCATGCTTTGGATAATTACGTGACACATGATCAGTAATACCAGAACCGGAATTGAATCGAAAAAAAAAAAAAAATCCTTGAATGATAAATCAATATAGTTATAAAGCACATTTTACAACAACTAAATAGCCCATGATAAAACCACAAATTCAATCCAAAAACACAGTCTCCATGCTTCTCTTTTGATAAAAGAGAGTGATGGTCTCACTTGCAGATTTGCTTTCTTTACAGTGCATCAAGACTAATGGATATTACCATTCATTTCATTTACAAAGGGCCGGGGCTGATATATCAGGTCAAATTTCATCTCATAACCTCGAAACTTTCCTTGTAAATTATAGCTGAAGCATAAATTCAAGTGAATCTGTAAGCTTATCTAGAAGATTTTGTTATTTTTGCCTTTTTGTCGATTCATTCATTTAATTCAATTCTGTAGCTCGGGACAAACTCTCTCAATCATTAATACTAGTAATGATCATGACTTACTCTCTGGCCTGGCTCAAACTTGCTTAATTGAGAACGGATTTCTTTTCCCCGACCTGAACCTGGACAAGGTTTATCATTTTCTAACTGACCACTCTTTGGAAGGCAGAACGGTGCCGCAGCATCTATTAGCTTTCCTTCCGAGTACCACTGGATACGGTACGTCACATTCCTCCAAAGCTCAATACCCTTCAGAAGAGACACTTGGCAATAGAGTTTGACTTCGTCTGTGTCAGTTGCAGTCGTACCGGCGCCCACATAGCCTATAGTTGGTCTTCCCAAGTATGTGCTACTTGGAAATTTCACAGATCCTGCAGCTGTAAAGAAAGGGAACTATTTAGTTACTGTAAGGCCAAGATTTGTAGCTAAAAAAAATCATAAGCATGCCATAACCGAAGAATAGCCAAAGAGTAAAATCTCTACTTCCTGAGCACGAAGGTGTAATGCCATGGTGTCCAGTTTTTTAAACTGTCTTAATGTGATCTGTCTCTAATAACCCCTAGTTGATTTTTCCAGTACGAAGAATGCACACCTGTTTAGAAATTTCTTTACTATCCATTGTTAGGGATAAATGGTGTAGCAGAGAGTAGTATATTTCATTTGTAAGAGTCTGCATAGAGATTGTTTCTTATAATCCTAGCATACCTGAGCACGTATCAAATGATGTTCCTTTCTGTCCATAAGGGCAAGGCCGTCCATTTCCTATTTCATGAAATGGATAAATGAATAAATAATTGAAAGGGTAAACCATTACACATACATACATACAAACATACATACACATACATAGATATATATATATATATATATATATATATATATATATATAGAATATCTTAGAATACCCTATATATTGCAATTTGGAAATTTGTATGAAATATATATTCAGTTTCTTTCCATTTCCCATTAAAAAAGTGTGGATATAATAAATCAGGGACAACTATATTAAAAGAGAGTACGAAAGCTGCTGTGAAAGGTTAAAAAAGTCTTTGTTTCACCTCCTCACAATGAAAAAAAGGCATCATTCCTTCGATGTAAAATATACATGAATCGTCTATTACCTTTGTAATGAGGAAAGGAAAGGTACATAGATTTAATACAGATTTTCAAAATGCAATTTTTTTAAAACGGGTGTATTTGAGCGCGCTTAGATATGGAATTTCTTTTTGAGTTTTGAAATCGATAGCTCACAAATGAGGTATCGAATTGAATACAAAAAGAGAAATCCATATCTACAGGCAACCATGTATTATTTTTTTTATTTTAACAACACAATAGCCCTTAACTGACGAGAAAAGTAGACTCGAAAAACAAAATCCGCTTAAAACGCGTAAGCGGTAAGGCTTAGGATGAAAAAGTGCGTGGAATCATCACGAAAACTGGGAACAATGGGCGTTACTTTCAATTTATAAAATTCTCAGTTACTGATTTTTCCTTACCAATGGAAGAAATCTTCTCAAGTACACGGCCAAAACCGGCCTGTGTTAAAAGTGTGGCCACGAGAGCACCAAGCAGTCGCGCTACACAATAATGCCATCTTATCGATTTCAATGAAACTTTGCCAGTTTAAAGGGTCTAGCCACCGACCCCAAAACTCTACAAACAAACTGGTATCTGTTTTGCCTATTTCCGGAAGAATATTATGCATTCTATATCTACATGTAACTATACATCTCTCTCAATCGAGTGTTGACCGGCGTTGAATTGCGTGACTTAAAGAATGAGCCAGCAATATTTTGACCAGGAGGCTTCCTGCAAATTTCTCTTGATGAAAAATCCGAGGACATAGCCAGTTATTTTCGTGGTTAATGACGATAAATTTGAGAGAAAAGTGAGATGCAATGGTCTGTATCTTTGGTAGCCTATGGTGCCTCCTCCTACAGATTGGCAAGCTTCCCTCCATTTCTTCTGGATCTCATGAAAGACAGATTCTTTTGTCAGCTTCACTTTGTGTTTGCCTATGTTAAGGTGCTTTTGGGGGGCAGTGAATGACTGAAACGTCTTTATACATCTTCCTCTTGACGAGAATATCTCGTTTTCCTATTCTGTCTTTGACGGATTCGGTAGTTCTCGCGATGGCCCAGTTTCAGAGATCTGTGCACATCGCTGATAACCACCCGCTTCTAAAGTCAGAAGGAGGATCGCACGCCTCCAAACTGATCTCACCACAAGTTGTGCACAATATTTTAGGCATATCTTGAAATCGCGGCTTTTTTATTCTCTAAATAAGCCAATACGAGCTGGAATAAGCTTCTTCTCGGACGAAACGCACGTTTGGGGTACATTAACGTCTCTCAAATGTTTTTTTACGCTGTTCACCCACGAATTTCGGGTTTGAGCTATTGTCGTCTTGGCCAGTGCGAGAAAAATAACATTTGGTTGTACAGTTAGTTGCAAATGAACAAGACAACTGCACCATCTTAACACTCTCATTTTGAGTTTTAGGTTTAATTGAGGGCTTTTTAGACACTCACAGACTTATATGAAGAAGCAATACAACTGATGCTCGTACACTACATAAGATCAATAATGTCTGTTACGCTGTTGCGAGAGGGAGGAAAATATTACCAGAAGTGTAAACTCTTTGAAAGTTACATGACGTTTCAGAGATGTCTATCTTCGGCTGTTACAAAACATTGAGCCCCTCTTAAATTTACTCGGAAAAATGAAGTTACAAACTCCTTGTTGAATAAATTGGAATTAATTTGACCGATACACCGGTTGTTTCAATTTTGCTCTTTGCGCAGTTGAAAAAAAGAGCTCGCAAATTGACTAATGAATATACTATTTTGCATGAAATACCGTTCAGTTTGTCTTTCTTTTTTTGAGTACAAACCAAGGGAAGATAAAGTTTTTAAAACAAAATTGACAACACATTCATGGGGCTTAACAACCCATGAGGCCCCTGGCCGCATCATCGGCAATTATCGTCGGCCATAGTCAAGCCGTGCCGAGCCAACTGACCTCGCCCTCCATTGAAATAATTTTCCAAATGTTATATTGAATTAATGTAGCGAGAGTGAGGAAACGCACATTTCTTCGGTGCTGTGATCAAAGCGCAATGATATATCTGAATTGATACTTACGGTATCAAACAATTGATTATGAGGGTGAGCCTAGTTTTTTTGTCGAGGTCGACGTGACTTCACATTAAAGGCGAGTTTTCTTTTTTCTGTTTTTGACGGAAAAAAACAGGAGCATCACTGCAAGAACTGAGAAAGTATTTCCCACGCGTTTCGTGTGACAATAGAAGACTTCATGAAGGAGATTTACAAAGAGGGTAAATAAGCTTTCTTTAATACATATTGTCTCTTTTCGATTGAAGCGAGCGCAACGAATTCGCCAGGTGCGCCTACGGTGTTGTACGTGCGGTCGTTTCATGTACGATTACGTGTTCAAGTTGTTTGAGGGTCACATATTTGATGTAAATATTTGACCCCTCAACACATTACATAATCGTCCATGTAACGTCTCTAGTTTACCAAGGTCAAAGACATGGATTTCCCTCTTGCGGTTAGAAGGCTGAAAGCAAATATCGCGAGCGTAATTACTTTTGATTCTAGCGGTCAGCTTTTGGGAGTCACGAAACATAAAACTTTTTGGGACCTAGTTTCATGTTCTAGTTGCAATAATTAGCAAATTAAACCACATCCTCTTGAGAATTAAAGTCATAAATATAACAGGGGTTCTTTGAAAGAATTGGTAGTAGAAAGGGTTTAAAAGTCCAAATTTTTTTAACTTCTCGATAAGGGTCACGCAGTCACGCGTCAAATCTTATTTCTGCGTGGAATTTCTTGATGGTGGAAAGCGGAAAGAACATTTTCTAGTCTTATTTTCTGTAAAAATAGCACAGTTTATGAATTTCATGGGGCTATTGATATTTCCTTTCAAACGAGGGGGCAGAGTTTCTCGTCATCCACGGTCTGAAAAGGCCGAAGTTGTTACTCACGGGGACTTATACGTCAACAAGCACGCGACATGTGACTTTAAGATCTCCTCTCCTGTTACAGTTTCCCTATTGTGAACTGTGAGATAATGATTATAAACAATTAAATCATAGACTTATGAATGTTTTGTGTTGTACAAAAGCGATATTTGCTGATTCTAGAAAATCTCCAAAGTAGTAAACGACAGAAGAAAGAAACACTACGATTTTCCCATCAACATTTCGCTTACTCGCATCTCTCTTAAGCTGAGATTTTCGATTCCTACCAAAGATCTCGAAAGTTGTTGACATTTCTTAGCTTCCTTAATCAATCATCACGTATAACGAGCTATAAAATATAGGTGTATTTGATAAAAGGACCGCTTGGAGCCATCCAAAGGCATCAAAGACAAAAATATGGCAATGCCCAAAGATTTTTTTGATGGTCTTCAGAGATGAAATGATGGATTATAACATAGCGCGCGTGCTTGCACTATGTAAGTCCTATTGAGCTGCTATGAACAAAATCTTTATTTACGCACGACCGTGCGTAAATAAGATGACGTCAGCATTTTTTGTTCATTGCCGCTCTGTTATAAAAGAATTTGCTCATGCGTTTAGCTGTGCGTATATCGTGTTATGGATGCACTTGGGGAGTTTGGAGAGCACTCAAAAAGCTAGAGTTGCTCTCGGCTGCGCCTCGAGCTACTCCAGTATGTATTTTTCGTGCTCTCCAAATTTCCCGCGTGCATCCATAACTCGATATACGCACGCTTAGCATAAACAAATTCTTAATTATAAAGGAGAATTAAATTAGTGTTGTAGCTTTCCGGCAAGGAGAGATATTTGACCTCAAAGTTATCAAATATTGGGATGAATCGAAAAGTCTACAAACACAGTCATTATTTGCCCTTGTTGATCGACAAGCAGTCAATAAAATTGACGGCGTACATTCATTAAGGATGTAACAATAGGTATTCAATCTCTCAGAGAAATCGATTAAATACCGTCGCAGTGAGAGCTTCATACATTTTTTACCTATTTTGAAGCGATTTCCTTGGTGAAAACCAAGTAAAACCGCTGGGCGAGGGGGTGGTCTATCTACCCCCTGGAAATAAGCAAAACAGAAACTTGTTTGTCTGTTTGAGTTTTGGAGTAACCTCTATAAACTGGCAAAGTTTAACTGAAATCGGTGAGATTACATGTAGTACGACTGAAATCTCCCAGTTGTCGATCGAATTTCGTTCTCAGCCGTGAGAAATGCCAGTATTAAAGCCACATGGGCTTAAATAATGCAACTGAATTTTAAGGATTAACGCAATAAAAGAAGTAAGTAGAAAACCACTTCGAAATGTCAAGATTCTTACCAGCACAGTAGGCAATGTAACAAGAATATGTCGGCTTGAGATAATAGACGTAATAATTCCCACCGCAGTTCTTCACAGTTATTCCAAATTCGTAAAAACAACCACCTTTTCTGTCAAATATGTTTACGCAGGCTTTAACTGATGTTATCACATTAGTAGCGGGATGCGCTTCCTTCAACCAAATCGGAGCTTTAGTACCGCAGTGGTTTTGCTTTACCATCGAAGTCGGCATTGCTCCTCCAACAAAGCTGGTAAAGCGATACCAACCTTCTTTCAGAGTTTGATCACATAGCGGGGTTTGACCTGGCTTCCATACGCTTTTTGAACTGCGTCGGGAATCACTTATTTCTTGGTAATTTCCCTGTTGGCAGCATCCGTTACAGCTTGCAACGCCTTGACCAAGGGATGCATGAGAGAAGGCGACAAGAATAAACACGCATACCACTATCAATAGAGAAACATTCATGTCTTCGAATGATATTTCTGTTCACGACGTAAAACTAGTCTGACATCCACCAAATAATCTTCCTTATTTTAATCAAAGCTCTCAGAGTGGTATGTAATTACAGTAAATGCTTTAACCCTTGTCACCCGTCAATCGTTATTTTAAGCTCGCTACAATGCATTGTTAGACGGATTAATCTGTTCATACACGTTCGAGTCAAGCTTAATCCAGGTTAAAGGTCCCACAGCACGTTTGTTGAAAGAATGAGAAGCATACGAAAAAGTTCCTCGTTCACAAGGCTGCCTTCTCGTCATTATGCCTATTTTTTTGCGAGTGTACATCGTTCTTCACATCAGTAAAGGTATTTTTGGATGATCTTCAAAGGAAAAGCTCTTTTTGTTAGTGCCGCCCTCCGCCAAAATGCAATGGTTCGTTCTTTCCCTATGGGTTACTCCCCAACTTCGCGGGTGTCCTTCGGGAAAAACTCGTACGCGCGCTAGTTTCACTGAAATCCTAGAAAACTATATATCAGAAGAAAGCTTAATAACTGCAAATTACGATGAAATTTTAATTTAAGCGACTTTTCGTTGAAAGCAGTGCCAGGAGCCGGTACGGCGCGAAACGACCGAAGGTTCTTCTTTTGAATTTATCGGGTATCGGATGATTATTATACAATAAGTTTGTTATCTCCAATCATGTCCCATTTAAGGACATGTATAAGAGATTCGATTTCAATCATCGCTACTCGATCCTGGCTACGTGATCATCGCTACTAGTTCATCGCTTCTAGTTTGTTCCAAGACGCTATCGCTGTCAGTTATATGCTACCGTTAGGAGTAGACAAAAGAAAATCTTTATCTCTTTTACATTTACGATGTTTACCTTATGTCTGTGTTATTGGTATTATTTCCGTATTCATTTTTCTGTGCAATCGCTTCGTTTTTTTAGTTAGATTAATGTTACATTTCGCAACGCATTTTTCTTAGTTTAGTTTCCGTTGTCTAAGTCCTAACCACACAACCTCAATCGCTACTTCGATCAAACACAAATACGTCTCCGCGCTATCTTCTACAATTATTAAAGACACTTCACATTCTATGTACGTTCGAATTGCCCACTCAGCCACTTAGCTAACTTTTGGTTACAGATGGAGGGGGACAAATGCAAAGTTGCTAAAGATAAAGGCAAAACCCACGGAAATCTCGTTTTTAACATTATGTATGGCAAATTTTGGTTTGACGGCGACTTCTTTGTTCGAAATATCTGGACGCCAGCGTGGAGCTCCGCCAGCACTAGTTGCTTTCACAAAGGAATTCTTGTCTTTTCTTGACAGAATGTTACCCCCATGGTGAAACGAAAGCGAGGGAACTTCTACGAAAACATGACTCTAATCGTGTTCTATGACGTCATTCTAATCAATTCAAAGATATGTAACTTGATAATATTTTTTGCGTGCTAGCGAGGAAGGTTATCGAAGTAAACAACAATTCAAGTGAATTTATTTTCCACTATTTCGGGTAAACTTGCAATTTAGTGTCTACGTTCAATTATATACTTTGCTCTAAGGATATAGAAAACGATTATAAGGAATATTTGGTATAAAATAAGAAGAGGACGTAGTTCGATTGGCATAGAACACGATTAGTTTTCCTAGACGTTCCTTCGCTTCCGTTTCACGGGTATGGCGACGCGTAAGGTAAGCGATTTGGGACGATATTCTCACAACTTGCAAGACGATCAACACGCATGCTAGCCAGCGGTATTTTAAGGAAGCTGAAGACCATCATTGATGTTCCTGATGTTTTGAGCGGATTATCGAGGAATATAGGGGGGGGGGGGGGTGTTTACTTCTTCAGCTGTAATGTATAATGTCAGTATCAGTCCAAAGAATATTCTTCTGTGCGTGAATGATAATTTCGGTTTGGGAAAATGAGCCAAATTTGAAATAAACGACGTTAAACGGCTTTGAGTTAAGATATCACCGGTCAAGTTAAGGGTATTCACGTGAGAACAGTAATTCAGTGAAACAACACGCTAGAATCTTATGGGTTTCTCTTATTATATCTTCTCTTGATGTCGCAAGGTATGAGTTCTTGCTCCGTGGAATTTTTTTCTTACCTGTCAACCTCCTGTAGAAAGGGTGGAAATTTAAAACGAAAGTCACTTATAACACGAGGTTAAACCAGCTATTTTTAACGTTTCTTTAGACTACTCGCGTTTCATGATTATCCTCTTGATGATGAAAGGAGACTTAGGAATCGACAATGATGATATTGTAGAAACCCAGAAAAAATAACTGGATTCTATTTGTTATTTACAAGAATTAATTTAAAAAATCAATTGAGTTTTCTCTTTAGTTGGAGGTTGAGAAGCTCCAACTGGTAGTCTCCCATGTTAGCAAATAACTGAATTTCCTGGAAGATATAGTCTTAGCATTATTTTAACATGAAAAACGTATTCATTTGAACCATCTCCTGTGACTTTTGCAGATTCATCATTACAAAATTTTAACATTAAAGTTTTTGAAAAGGCTGGGTATTTGTTCAAATTGGGCAACTCGTGCATCAACTCAGGTTATAGATTTAATGCACTGGTTTTCTTCCATTCATTCACTAATACTGCAAAAAGCTGTGTATATCAACCCAACCATTTTCCACAACTTGTAAACAACATTATGAAATAATAATAAAGGATATAGAGAAGTTGATGGCATATACGCTCTGCCTGGAACGCTTTTTTCTGCATAAGCTAACAGGTTTTTTCTCATTGCCAGGAGAGCTAAGTCGGATCAAGTAGACCACGCTGGTAATTTGACACATTGTAGCGGCCCTGTTGGGTATCTTTCAATCGGCGACACGGCTGTGAAACGGCGACATTAGGGAGCTGAAATGATTACGAACGACGCGCCGCTCACGTGAAATTACGACAGCGACAAAGACAAAAGTGAAATAGACAGGGACATTGCGTGTTAAAAAATAGACAGCGACTTGCAGCGCATTCGGCAGAGGAAATTGTGTTTTACAATAAATTAAAACTTTCCGTGAGTATTGACAGTCCACAATGTGATCTGTGTCGTCTGACTCTCTTCTGTCATCTCCTCTTCTCATCTTTCATATCACGCTACGCTCTATGTCCTTCCTGGTCACGCGCCCAAAATTCAGATGTAACCTTCTGAGTTTTTTCTCTCTGTATTCCTATGTCGCATTTTACAAGCTATTTGGGTCAAATGCTTTTTGCTGAAACATTTCCGATGTCGATATTACTGGCTTTGGACGAAATTCCGACAGCGACATGCGAACCTTCCGAAATTACAACGTAAAAAGGTTTGAAACTCAGACGGGGGAAATTTAGAACCCCGTAACAGGGCCTCATTGTAGGCAAACTTTACAATTGATGAAATGCTATTTGATCATAAACATGCATGAAAAGCATTGAAGGAAATCAGCTTACACAATTCAATTGCGATGTATCTGTTGACTACGCTGTCATTCAATGTTAGCTTTGCTGACGCACTAAAATAACATCAACAACTTACATATACCAAACCATAATGGGGGAGGAATCTGAGATAACTTATAATTATTTCGCTTGAAAGAGATAAAGTAGACAAGCATTTCTCGCCATAAGAAAACTCGCTGAGGCGATATATCGCTAGAACGATATATCGCAATGAGTCACACCTGATTCAGCGATAAATCGCTGGAACTATATTTCACTGAAGCGATATACCGTGATTAAGTTCTGCACGCTCCACGATATATCGTTTTAGCAATATATCGCGGGAACGATGTATCGTTGGAACGATTTATCGTCGGAACAAGACATCGCAGGAGAGCTCCCATACCTCGTCGATTTATCGTTCTTAAGGTGTCAAGAAAATGAACGATATATCACCGATATTCGGCGATATATCGGAAGAACAAAGCGCAATAAACGACGATAATCGTTTGCATTACTTTTGCACAGTACTGTATCCATGGGACAGGTAAATAATTTCTTCGAAGGGAAATTTCAAGGTATTGCAAACACGTTAGACATTCAGCTCTGATATAGTAGCGTGGTTGTGATTGCACATTGAATGTTTTCAACGTGCCATATTTTCAACATATGGTTTCAAAACGAATGAGACGACGCTTTTTAATGGCTTTCGTTTCACCAATGTCGCCCGTGCATGAACGGTTAAAATTTAAGAATTTAAATCACAACACTTGATCCGTATGGATTCCTCGCTTTTTTACTAAAAAATTAACCATTTAAGTGCCGCTACAAAGTCACGAATCTGAAGGAAAAACGCGAGGTGCAGTAAAGAGCTTTGAACTATAAGTTTTGACCATCTTTGACATAATTTCTAAGTTATAAAAACAAAGATAATGGGAGTTCAGTAAATTGTTTTCACCGCAGTGATAAAGTGGAACAAGTGTAACCTCAAGGAAATTTTGGAGGGCTTCAAGAACCCCCAACAGCAAGAAATAGAATAATAACGACGATAGTAATGGTTTTTCTCCCGTTAGTTGCGAATAATTTGTTTTTCAGATTGTTGATCTGGTAGGACTGACGTTGAACCTGAACGCTTCGGCCGCCGCTCGCTTGCTCTGCTTACTAGGTCAAACAGAATGGTTCTCGTAACTCTATCATTTTCGAATTCACGCAACAGATCACCTCAAGTCTAATTTCCCGCCACTGAAATAAAACACACTTATCTCGATCACGAAATAGTGAAATTCGCCGAATGAAAGCCTTTCATTCTCTCGTTGAACGACTTAAATTATCGTTAAATATCTGCAAAAAATGTTTATTCTCGAGATATTGTTGCAATGGATACTTTTGAAAGTAAGATAGAATAGAAATTATGATCAGGCTCCAATAACTGATTTGTTAATAGATTTATTAATTCTCTTTATATTATGGATGGATCGCGAAGAACTTAATGTGATTGGGCATCCACCTTCCTCGAATCCGAATTCCATTGGTCACTTGTGCCTTATAGGTTAATATTCTGCTCTAAGGCTTGGCGCAACCTA